CCGTTGTGCGGCAACAGTGCTACTATACGCTAGATGCCTTTGTCAAACTCACCTCGTAAGAATTAAAAAATGCACTCCTTGCTTCTTACCATTTTAAGTGCGGAATCTGTGTTTTCAAGGATGTGTTGGTATGGGAATCCTAGATCATGTATCGTTTTTTGACGAAGAGGGATTGGTTTCCTGTCAACTTTAGTATTTTGTCTCCACTTCTTGTCTGGTACTACATCTTCTCCGTGTCTGATGGCTTTTCATCTTGTTTTTGCAAGCTATTTTCCCAGGACTGGCTTTTTTGAGTCTAACATCATTTTTAGCGTTTTCAGCTTCATTTCTTTCTGTTCACTAGCGAGATTTGTTTGCAGTGATCCGTTTTCATTGGCAGAATTTCTCCAAAAAATAGCTGAATTTTTGCCTGCCCTCTAATCTTGCAGCCATTGATTTTCCGATTTTCTACACATACTGGCAGTCCCTTCAAACCATTTTCTTCGTCGCAGCAGTGGCCATATATTTCTGAATACATTTACATATTTGCAATTCCCATCCCTGCTAAACTGCTAAACCAACTAAACTGCGTTGTGTTTTTTTTTTTGTGTTCATGTATTTGACGTTTCGGTAAGGTCCAAACTTTCAGCCTGATGATCAAACACAGCGATGGCAATCATCATCAGTCAAAAATCAATTTGCTGAAAAAAGTGCTAAATATCATCACCAGTGTCCTGCTTGTCGATCATGAGGTTCTTTTTGAAGATCTTTTTGACTTTATAGATCCGGTATTATCCTAGACTTTAAGTTCAGCAGAATTGTAACACTGGCATATATCTGTTTAGGTGCGCAATACGGATTTTCATGCGATGCCCTACCAGCGTATCTTAATTGTTCTTTTCAACGAACTTACTACTCCGGATCCCAACCTGGACTCGATTGCTTGGAATATCGCAGAGGCTTTTGGGTAATTTTTATAAGTTTTATTATGCGTTTTTTGCAGCTATGCAATGCAAAAAACGCATATTGACGAGAGGTTGTCTGT